CACAGCACAATCTCTAATATTTTTTGAGTTTTATATATTCCTGAGCTCATGAACGCAGCAGTTTTGAATGTTTTTTGAGTTTTGTGAATATCCGAGGTCTTGAACACAGCACAATCTCTAATATTTTTTGAGTTTTATGTTTTCCCGAGCTCATTGAACGTGACACAATCTCTAATGTTTTTTGAGTTTTGTGTATTCCTAAACTTTTGAACACAGCACAATCTGTAATGTTTTTTGAGTTTTATGTTTTCCAGAGCTCTTGAACACAGCACAATCTCTAATATTTTTTGAGTTTTATATATTCCTGAGCTCATGAACGCAGCAGTTTTGAATGTTTTTTGAGTTTTGCGAATATCCGAGGTCTTGAACACAGCACAATCTCTAATATTGTTTGAATTTTATGTTTTCCTAAACTCGTGAACGCAGCACAATCTCTAATGGTTTTTGAGTTTTGTATATTGTCGAGCTCTTGAACCCAACTTAATCTCTAATATTTTCTGAGTTTTGTGTTTTCCCGAGCTCTTGAAGGCAGCCCTGGTCCTCTGCTCTGATAGTTGGCTCACAGGGCGGAGCTGCTGGCGGTGGCTTTGAGTGGGTGGACTTGATGTTTTTTAGACTTTGTACTTGGTCAGTCTTTGCCAGAGCCTGGTTCCCTCCTCTTCTTCTCTCAGTTCATTAGAGCGGTGATAAATTACCCAGGGGAAATGCCAGAGAGTGCCAGACAGAACGCCAGGCTAATATCTCCCAAACAGCATGGGCGAGACCGGCTGGGACAGACTGAGAAACGGCTGCATTAAATTGAAATATTGTATGTCTGTGCATATGAGCGCGTGGGCGGCGCTCACACCCTGAACAGGCCCTCGCCGCCGCCGCTGCTGCTGCTGCTGCTCGGGCTTTGGGTTCCATCACTTTTACCAAATAAGAACCAGACCATAAGAAAGCTCGTTACGATAATGAATTCTGAAGCACGATATCCACCTAATTCCGCCCACTGTTGTCTCTAAACGCTCCTAAATCGAGCTTTTATGTGGTAGCACTTCCGGTTTAATGTCAAAGTAACTAAAAGTACGCAAGTTTTTTATTTATACAGCGTTTTTCACAGACGTATGTCACAAAAACTCTTTACAGAACATTATTCATTCATTATTCACTCCATATCCGGAGAATATGGGGAACGTTTTGCATTTTAAACATGACATAAAGTTGGTTCACGTGTGTAAAATGTTCAATGTTCATGTGCACCAACAAGTCACACTGCACCGATTCTCTGGAGGCTTTAAAATATATTTAAAGTCCATACGGAACCTATTTACTGTCAAGATCGGCACCTTTGTACAAAATAATACAACCTAAATCATGGTGGCGGCCAGTGACATAGTGGGGATTTTTTAAGCGATTCATGACGTCATTGATGATGTCCTGACTCATTTCTGAATTTGATATTTTGCCAACAATGGTTAATATAGAGAATGTAATACACGAAGATCCGAGCAAGTACCAGTGTGCGAACGTGTTGCTCCACAGTGAGTCAGAATTGGGGGTGCGTGTCTATGGTCGAACACCGGGATCTGCACGGACCTGTAGTCCACTGCGCATTCTTACTTTCCCTGCATGGATCCAGTGCGCAGAGGACAGCATAGAATTGGTGGCACCCGGTCCACTGCGCACTGGTCTTACTCGCCTCCGTCTAGAGGCAGCACATGGAGGACGGAGTCGTGATCGGGCGATGGTGCGCTGAGCCTCGTGGGGCAGGGAGCTCTGAGCTGGTCCTTTCGCCTGCGGTCACCAGATGGTCTACAAGGACCCAGCCCCGAGCCCGAGCCGACAGTCAGTTTGACATTTAAGTTGTAACTGTTTTATATTTGTTATTATTTTATATCTCACGTCGGGAGAAGTGGGTGGACGGTGTACCTCCATGTACCACGCCCACTACCTGGTGGTGTGGTCCCGGTCTCGGTCTCAGTCCCGGTCTGGTTCTGGTCTCAGTCCCCGTTTGGTTCCGGTCTGGTCCCGGTCTGGTCCCGATATCATCTCAGTCCCGGTCTGGTCCTTGTCTCAGTCCCAGTCTGGTCCCGGTCTCAGTCCCGGTCTCAGTCCTGGACCTGGTTCCAGACTCAATCCTGGTCTGGTCCCGGTCTCGGTCTCAGTCCTGGTCTGGTTCTGGTCTCAGTCCCAGTCTGGTCCCGGTCTGGTCCCGGTCTGGTCCCGGTCTCATCTCAGTCCCGGTCTGGTCCTGGTCTCAGTCCCGGTTTGGTCCCGGTCTTGTTCCCGGTCTCAGTTGTGGTCTCAGTTGTGGTCTGGTCCGGGTCTCAGTCCCGGTCTCAGTACCGGTCTCAGTTCTGGACCTGGTTCCAGACACAGTCCTGGTCTGGTCCCAGTCTAAGTCCTGGTTTCAGTCCAGGTCCGGGTCAGGTCTGGTCCCGGACCTGGTTTAGTCCTGATTTAGTCCTGATTCAGTCCTGGTTCAGTCCTGGTTCAGTCCTGGTTCAGTCCGGCATCACAGTTTAAGTCATTCCATTTTTCATTTAAACACAAAATTTAAAACTGAAAAAAAGAATCATTGTACAGTTTTTGATTTTGGTTTTGGAGACAAATAATGAAGAAAATAGTTTTTTTTTTTTACATTTTCTTACTTTTGGTTTTATTTTGAAAAATGAATGAATGAATGATACACAGATTAAAAAAGCTCATGGGATCATTTTTACTTCTTCTTGTAGTAGTAGATCTTGTCCCATCCCAACAACACAGTAATAATCACGACAAGCCGAGCCATAAATCTAGTATTTGTAACGTTTGACTGAGTTTTCGTGCTCGTTCCAGGCCATGAAAACGAACACTTCCTGGTTTGGACTAAGTTTAGGTCACACAGAGAGAGGCAGCGTACAACAGTGACGTTACACTTCTGATCCAGCGGTTTATGAGACTATTACGGGACTTAAGAGTTTGCCTAAAAACAAACATGATTTCATTCATAGAGAACTTACTTAACATTCACAAGAAAAGGGAGCAGATCGTTAGGCGTCCTTCACTAATCCCTTTGGCAGTTACGCTTTTATCCTCTAGACAGGCCGCATTTTTGTTAACAATGATAATTATCTTTTGTTTTATCTTTGTTTAACTGTAGAACATTTTTGGACATCCAGTCACTAATCGCTTTAACACAAACTGGGCCCATTTTCATTTGGTGAGAGCAGGAATATAAATACTCTCTAGTGTCATCGGCGTAATTGTGATCGGACTGTTTGTTTTTTCTCATCATTTTACAAAGTGGAAGCAGATAAAGAATGAAGATATGTGGGTCCAGGACTGATCCTTGTGGAACACCACGTATCAATGGTGGTGTTCTAGTCAAGACCACAAAAAAACAAACGATTTTTTGATTATTTGTCTCCAAAACCAAAATGAAAAAACAGATAATGAATTTTTTTCAGTCTTCGATTTTGTGTTTAAATGAATAATGGACAAAAAAAAAAAAAAAAAAAAACGGATAATGGATGTTTAAGTCTCGTTTCCGTGACTTAAACTGCGATGCTGGACTTTTGTGCCGCATACGAACCAAACCAGGACTGAATCAGGACTAAAACAGGATTAAAACCAAGACTAAACCAGAACTAAACTGTTTTAATCCCCAGTCTGGTCTTGGTCTCAATCACGGTCCGGTTCTGGTCTGGTCCCGGCTTCAATCACAGTCTCCGTCCCTGTCTCGTCCCGGTCTTTGTTATGGTCTCAGTCCTGGTCCTGGTTCCGGTCTCAGTCCTGGTCTCAGTCCTGGTCCTGGTCCCGGTCTCAGTCCTGGTCTCAGTCTGGTCCTGGTCTCAGTCCCGGTCTCAGTCCTGGTCTCAGTCCTGGTTCCAGTCTCAGTCCTGGTCTCAGTTTTGGTCTGGTCCCAGTCTCAGTCCTGATCTCAGTCCTGGTCCTGGTCCCGGTCTCTGTCCTGGTCTCAGGCCTGGTCTCTGTCCTGGTCTCAGGCCTGGTCCTGTTTCCGGTCTCAGTCCTGGTCTCAGTTTTGGTCTGGTCCCGGTCTCAGTCCTGATCTCAGTCCTGTTCCTGGTCCGGTCTCTGTCCTGGTCTCAGTCCTGATCTCAGTCCTGGTTCTGGTCCTGTCTGGTCAGTCCTGATCTCAGTCCTGGTCCTGGTTCCGGTCCTGGTCTCAGTCCTGGTCTCAGTCCTGGTCCTGGTCCCGGTCTCAGTCCTGGTCTCAGTTTTGGTCAGGTCCCAGTCTCAGTCCTGGTCTCAGTCCTGGTCCTGGTCCCGGTCTCAGTCCTGTTCTCAGGCCTGGTCCTGTTTCCGGTCTCAGTCCTGGTCTCAGTTTTGGTCTGGTCCCGGTCCCAGTCCCAGTCTCAGTCCTGGTCCTGGTCTGGTCCAAGGCTGGTCAAATAAACCAAACAAACTTTTTTGGACCCTTGCCCACAGTTTTATACTTTACAGAAAAAGTGAAGAAAGTGTGTAGGATTTTTAAACCTGTTTTTTTTCTAGTTTCTTACTAAAGTTCATTCTCTTACAGGTTTTGCAGTGATATTTATCAGCCTCTACACATTTACCAAACGCACGTCATGACAAATGTCACGGTAAGAAGTTTATTGACGACAGCAGCAGCCGTAATGAAATATGATCATCCTCGACAAGTGTCAGATCTTGAGTCCAAGACAAGACCAAGTCCAAACGTGATCAAGTCCGAGAAGAGACCAAGACCGTAAAAAAACAGTCTTAAGGCCGGTGTCTCGAAACCACGACCCGTCTCAAGTACTATGACACAAACCAAGGGGAGATAAATGGATTTTTGTCTTTTTACCACCAAAAAATAGTCCCTGCCCTCCAGAAAATGTTTCATCCAATGTTTTATCCAATATAACTTTTCCTGTAAAACCCAAAAAGCACCGCCTATGTCCACCTATGTAAAAGTATACAGAAATACAGAAATACAGTTTAGAAGTCTTGTTTCTTACTTGTAAAGACCTTTCGACCTCACAGAGTAAAACAGAAGTGTCGGTCGTACTCACCCAGAGTGGGAGTGGTTCTGTGCGATGACCGACCCCGTCTGGTGAGGGGCCAGGCTGCAGCTCGGTCCCATCAGGGGCCCGTGGGCTGGAGGGTGCTGCAGGGGCTGGCTGTGGGGCTGGGTGTGGTTGTGGGGCGGGTTGTGGGGCTGGAGGGGCTGACTGTGGGGCTGGTTAAGGGTCTGGTGGGTCTGGCTGTGGGGTGGATGGTGGTGAGGTGGGTGATGGGGCTGGTTGTGGTGGTGGGGCGGTTGTCGGTTGTGGGAATGAGTGTGTGTGTGGTGCTGAGGGGCGGGCGGAGGGTGGGTCAGGGGCTGGTGGGACAGCGGGGCGCTCTGGTCTTTGAGGTGACTCTGGTTCAGACACGACGGCCCGTTCTGAGGGAGCATCTGTGGAGACACAACGGACACGGGTTAGACTGGTGCTACGGGTTATGGTCTCTGCATTTGACCCGTCCTGAGAGCAGAGGGACGGGTTATTATTTGTCGATGATTTGTCTCACGCTCACATGAACAGAGACGCTACAAGGCAATTTCAGGAAAGATTTTCTACAGTGACAGTGAAAGAGGAAAGTAGAGGAGTTCAGGTATCTCAGTGTCTTGTTCTCGGGTGAGGGGAGGATGGAGCGTGAGATTGACAGGTGGACAGGTGCAGCTTCGGCAGTGATGCGGCCGCTGTATCGGACCGTTGTGGTGAAGAGGAGCTGAGCCGAAAGGTGAAGCTCTCGATTTACCGTCAGTCGCCGTTCTTCCCCTCACCTCTGGTCATGAGCTTTGGGTAATGATCGAAAGGACGAGATCGCCGATACAAGCGCTCAAAAGTTTTCCTTCGCAGGGTGTCTGGACGCTCCCTTAGAGATAGAGTGAGGAGCTCAGTCACACGGGAGGAGCTCGGAGTAGAGTCGCTGCTCCTCCACGTCGAGAGGAGCCAGTTGAGGTGGCTCGGGCAGCTGTTCCGGGTGCGTCCTGGGCGTCTCCCTCAGGAGGTCAGGAGGTGTTCGTGTCTCACAAGAAGGAGGCCCCGGGGAAGACTCAGGACACGCTGGGGGACTGTGTCTCTGGACTGGCCTGGGAACGCCTCGGGGTCCCGCTGGAGGAGCTGGAGGAAGTGTCTGGAGTGAAGGAAGTGGACGGATGGACAGTGAAAGAATTGCCTCAAAGAACAGGGCATCTGAATGAAAAATGGTGAGCAGCGTGTGAGCCTTTCCATGTGCTCTTATTCACCAAGAAAATAACACTAAAAAGAAAAGAACGTTTCATCCATCTTCCACTTTATCCAAGGCCATTGCGCCGTTGTGTAGAAGACCAGACTCTCCTCTCCACACACACTTCCTCCAGCTCTTCCGAACGGTTCCTGAAGCGTTCCCAGGCCAACCCAGAGACATAGTCTACGTTCAGACTGCAGGGCTTAACGCTCAATTACGATTTTTTTGTGAAATCCGATGTTTTTGCGAGGTCGTTCACATTTCCAATTAAATGTGACTTGTATGTGACTCCAGTGTGAACATTAAACGGCCCAAAAGTGTCCCACATGTGACACTGGAGACACGACGACGTCAACCGCAGCGAGCGTCTCTGTGTTTACAGAAGTTGTCCAAACATGGACGCAGCATCGAGCACCTGGAGATTTTAAAGTTCCTCTCGTACCGGAGCCAGAACATGAACAACTTACTTGTTTTAAGGAGGAGATTGAGAAGGAGAAGGACGAGGTTTTTGGTCGTGGTGTTTTGTGGTTCAGTCCGTTAAAAGGAACGTGTGGATGTGGAGACGGAGCCAAGAGTGGTGAGTGGTGATGTGCTTCACTTCAGTCACACAGAGTTCATTAACAATTTTCACCTACTTCAGCGCAGAATAGTGACGTTTGTGTCTTGTTGATAACGTGTAGGTGGATGAATGCACTTTGGCCGTTCAGACTGAAGTCACATGTCAAAAGATCAGATATGTATCAGTTTCAGGAGCACATATCCAAGTGTCCTGGGTCACATTGGAAAAAATCTGATCTGTGTGGTTCAGACTGACATTAAAAGATCAGATACAGGAACATAGGGGCCAAAAAAATCAGATTTGGGTCACTTCAGGCTGCAGTCTGAACATAGCCATAGTCGCTCTGATGTGTCCTGGGTTTTCTCCGGGGTCTCCTCCCAGTGGGACATGCCCAGACGAGGCATTCAGAAGGCATCTGGGACAAATGCCCGAGCCACCTCAGCTGCACCTCTCCACTCCTCCGTGAGACTGAGCTCCTCACCTTATCTCTAAGGGAGGGAGAGCCCAGACACTCTGCAGAGGAAATTCATTTCGACTGCGTGTGGATCTTGTCCTTTTGCCCTTGACCATAGGTGAGGGAAGGATCAATCTACGTGATTGATAAACTGATTGGTAAATGGAGAGCTTTGCCTTTCGACTTAGCTCCTACTTCTTATAAATTTTGTTTCCTAAAAAAATATGCCTGGAGTTGTGTCTGTTTCATTCACACATGTTTAAGTGGACTTCTTCTCTCAGACAGAAAACACTCTGTTCCATCTTGTGCTTATGTTATGTGGCTATACAGGAAGTGCTCCACTGTGTTTTTAAACTCCGTACACCTTCACCAGAATCATTTGGATACTTCCAGCCGTGGAATTTACAACAAACTATTTTGAGCTGTGGAGATGCAGACAGCCCAGTAACGCAGGGTTCACATTCAATCACGTGTGAATGAAACAAAACACAAGTCTGGGTCTGATTTTGATCGTACTTTCTGATGAACAACATTATAACACGTTGTAAAGTTCACAAGACTCGTACAGAATGTGTAATACAGAAGCGTAAACAGCTGCGGGCGTCTGGCTCCGCTGCTGTAGCTGATGACAAGAGACAGTTGTAAATATCGAACGTGTTGGAATCTTCCGCTTTGAGGTTTTGGCGTGTGACCCGACAGATATTTGTAACAGAATCACACTGACCCCACAGACTGAGGTGAGCCACCGCACGGATTCAGATCATGATTCACGAGTTTAATCCGCCTTTTTATAAAAACAATGTTTCCTGGAGCTTTTTTCTGCATAAAGAGTTGGTTCCCCAGCAGGTGTCGTCTGGTGAGTGCAGTTTGGGTCAGATACACAGAGATACGGAATTTTTGAAGAGCTTTTGCCACGCCCATTTTTAGTCAACTAATGGCCCTGTCAAACCTTGACAATTTAGCCAGAGTACGTCAACGTATGAAAAATTTGGCAAATACACTGGCGTACGTTGGATAAGTTATAGGTAAGATTTGTATAAGTGCATATAACTTACTAATATGTTATGTACACATCCAACCTGTTATAAATACACTATGTATACGCCAGAAAATAAATAAATAAATAAAAATAGTTCAGCGTATGCCAGCGTTTTAGGGAAATTCTGGTGTGTTGGCATTTGCTGGCTAAATCATCAAGGTGTGACAGGGCCTTAATTAATCGGGAGGACGTGTCTTTAGTCGACTACAGCCCTAGACAGAAGACAGATAGATACATTATTGATCCAGAAGGAAGGCAAAGGAGAAATTCTAATCGTTAACTAGACAGTTTTTTTTTTTTTTTTTCCGAGTACAAATACATGGTCAACCAAAAAAATTGTCCAGTTGGCAAATTGAATTTCTCCTTTGCCACGGATTCTATCCAGCCAGGCTAGTGCCTCCGCTTAATTTAATTTCTCTACTGCGACTAGGTCAGGAATCAGAATACACTAGACGGTTTGCAAGAACCCCGGAAGTTGTAGACGGCGCACCGGCCAATCAATGAAGAGCTGTGAAGCCATGACGTCAAACTCAAGCGTCTGCCTGGGTTCCTTTTGTGGAACAGCACAACAGTAAACAAAGCGTCGAGATGGATTTAGACGAAGACGGACATTCTGTGTTGGCAACGATTCCAGAGGATTTAAAGCCGGAACAAAGAGAATGTTTGGTGAATTTTATCAAGGTGAAAGACGTTATTGTCCTTCTTCCAACGAGATTTGGGAAAAGCTTAATATACCAGTTATCCCTGTTAGCGACGCATTACAAACGTCATGGCCAAATAGCAGCGATTGGTTAAATATTAAAAGTACCCGCCTACCATTGAGTGAACGAATCTTAATGCTGCGAGGTCAGACGGTTTCTACGAAGTTAAACTGGCTGATGAATCAGGCTTGGTCATTTCAACAATCTCTTTGAACTCCACATGCTGCACTTCTGAATTTGTTAAAATCCCATGATATGATGTTAAAAACTGAGCTCAAAACTGCTCAGTGTGTGAGCCAGGCAGCCACAAGAGCAGCCAACCACGCCGTTGCCATGGAAGCGCACAGACGTTACAAACACAGAGGTCAGAGTTCAGAGTGTGGTACCTGTTTCTTCTCCTCCTCTTGCGCCTGGAGAAACTCCTCCTCGATCTCCTTGAACAGACCGACCTCGTCACAGTTCTGCAGGAACTTGGTGGGAGTGGGCGTGTCGGCTGCAAGAGCAACACAGAGAACAGAACCGGTCACCTCCTGGTCTGAGGGCAAAGGCTCAGCCGCACCACCACCGTCATAACCACTGTCAAACCCCGGGGCACTGAGGGGTTTTGTTCTCACTTTCCTCTTAAACATGAACTGTGTATCTTTTAGGTGGAGATTTTCTACCTACTTAAAGATGTTTTGCTTAGAATGTTCCACAGTATGGCATTAAAGGTTTCTATTTTGTATTAATTTTATTACAGGTGTTTAAAAATATTGTGTAAAACATGATTCTAACTGCTAGTGCGCTCGCCTCTCCATAGATCTGCACATGTGATTTGGCCTCACGGTATCACCTGGTTGTTTAAAAAAGGTTTAATACTTTCGGTGGAACATTCCAGACAAAACAACAACATCACCGTGGAGACAAGCAAGTGAATGACTCTTCACCAGAAAAGTTACGTAATGCGCCTTTAAATATTGGTGGTGGTTTTTGTCCTGTGGTTTCATATTTACATTTTTCCAGTAAAGAAGAAAAAACTCTTCTGTGAATCTTTTGCATCTTTGTATTTACATATGATCCCCAGACATGAGCTCGATCCGGTTGTTCACTACCCAACCCCCGTGAGTCAGTGCTAGTGCAGCCTCTGCAGCTCAGGGAGGGAGTTCTGGAGGTTCTGAGCTTCACATGAGCCTCGAACATAAACTGAGAGTGAGACAAACTTGTGAGTGTTTTCTGTCTGCAGGTGAAGACTCTGGTGACACCGATGAACACTTTTGTAAAACTATAAAGGTCATTTCAGACCAGAGAGTAAAAAAAAACACCCTAGACGCCTCTATTTGGACGCCTTTGAATTTGAGTTTAGACGCCCCCGACGCGTAACTTTGACAACGTGGATGAACCGGAGAAAAATACTTGAAGAGTGTCTGTTGCCCTGGAAACAAGAGCCCGGTCCTGGTCTTTTCCCGAAACAATGTCAGACTAGCCTGAGAGAGACTTTAGTGTTTTTATGACATAAAACATCAGTACAGGAGATCGACTCGACGACTGCAGCGTATATATATGTATACTCCACTAATCACACTGGTCCCCTGGTCTAGTCCTGGTCTAGTCCAGGTTAGGTCCTGGTCTAATCCTGGTTTGGTCTTGGTTTAGTCCTGGTCCGGTCCTTGTCCGGTCCTGGTCTAGTCTTGGTTTAGTCCTAGTCCGGTCCTGGTCTAGCCCTGATCTCGTTCTGGTTTAGTCCAGATGTAGTCCTGGTTAAGTCCTGGTCCGGTTCTGGTATAGTCCTTGTGATCCACTCAGTGATTGTAGTGTGTATATTTATGCTCCACTAATGTTTGTGGGTCTGGTTCTTGGGTCTTTCTCGTTCTTCCTGATAATAACATCACTACGTCTCTGGATACTCGTCCCTGATTGGTTGATGCGGCGCGTCTGACGTGAAAAGTTCAGCATTTTCAGCTTCTGACGCTGATGCCTTGGACGCATATCTCGAGCGTCGACGCCAGAACACTTAAGGCACACTGCGTCGATGCCAGATTCTCGCCGCACTGACACCCGAAGACGCGCCGCAAAAACACGGGACGCCCGAGACGCCCGTCCACATCGACTTTACATATAAACTGGACGTCTTGACGCTCTGGTCTGAACGGGCCTTAAGAGAGCAGGATACAAACATTTCAACTCTTAATGTTGGTATCAGCAAAAAAAAAAGAGAGTCCAGGGTTTTCTAATATCACACCACATGAATAAAACCCAACTTTAAAATGCCAAATAAAGCTCATTGTGTGAGTTTCTTGATAATCTGATGCTGAGTGATGAGAATAAAGATGTGTGCGCTGTGATGTGATGTGTGTGTTGTGTGTGTGTTGTGTGTGATTCTGACCTGTGAAGTCGTTCTTGATGGAGTTGAACTTGAGGGTCATCTCATGTTTGTGTCTGTGGATGTTCAGATGTTCCTCTGACTGGAACCTCTGTCCAACACAAACACAACAGAAGAAATAAATAAAGATAAGATAAAAACATGTGACTAAACCTCCTATATAAACATACTTTTGGACCAGAATAACTTTTAATAAGAATATTAATCATGATCTGGACTATACAGACTGTAAAACACACATAGAAAGACATTTATAACAAAGACAGTGGGATTATTATTAAATCAAAAACTCTAAAAAGTCTTGGGCACTGACCTGAGAGCAGCCGGGCGCCCCACACACATACGGCCGGTCCTGGAGCTCATTCATCCCACAGCCTGGAACACACACAACCTGTCAGAGATCTGAACATGAACGTTTAAGAGTGGAACCGTGATACTTCGACTTCCTAATAATTTACAACGATAAAGTCCTGTGGTTTCACGGTTTGAAGCCATAAAACCTGAGAATGAGAATGTCACTCTCGTCTGACAAAGGTTTAGACTGAAAGGATTCACCATATGGGAAACGTTTCTGTGTCCGCAACTCTTCTCCGTCCACACAGCTTTGCGCATATTTGTTTACGTTTTACAGAAATGCAACTTAGCAGCTTAGTAATTTGCATAAACTAAGCGCTCAAAAAACAGCTCGCTCCTTGTGTCCTGACGCGGTTCAACTTTTGTCGGCCATAAAAAGGACACGACTCAGTGGAATATGAGTGTTCTTTCTGTGACAGAGGGGTGTTCTGCTGATGGTGAGTCTGTTCTGTGTGAGTAGTTCTAGCGACGCTGTTTCCCATTTGTCTGCGGTTTGTTTAAATTGTTTTCTGCAATAGCGCCACATGAAGGAGCGAGTCACAGTGACGTGGTCCAATAAGGAGGCAACTAGAGCTCCTACGTCAGAGTATCATTGTTTTCAGAAGATCAATACTCAAGATGAATTCGTGGGAGCTGGAAGCACCAGATCGTTCCGTCTCTGGAGCCGTTTTCCATCGGATTAGTGTGAACAAACACTGCATCCACAACGAAAACTATTCAAATACGTACTAGTGTGGACGGGGCCTCAGAGCACCACACTGGAGTCATTCTTCAAACACTCCACACGCGGTGGTACTAAGATGCTGCCCCGGGACAGACTGAAGGAAGAGAGGCTGCCAATCCAACACATACAAACACACACACACACACACAACATATTCATACTAGACGAGCGCTCTGACCTCCTCCCCTCTGCCTCCCCCTGAACATAACACGGGTCACCACAGACACAGGACACTGGTCTCATCCCTCCATCCAGAGGTGGGGACTTGCAAGTCATGACTTGGACTCAAAGTCAGACTTCAGTCACAATTTTTAGGACTTGAGACTTGACTTGATAAAATGGATTAAGACTTGGGACTTGACTCGGTCTTGAGGTCTGTGACTTGAAGAAGCACTTTTAAGTCTGAATTCTTTCTATTCTGGCCACAATGATTCACTCTTAAGATCTTGTCAAGACATTTAAAAAGGAAAAAATTTAAGTACAATTTAGTTTAAAATTCATATAAATTGCAAAAGTCTAATCTATATTTGGTTCTTTGGTTTAAAGACTTGACATGACTTGAAGCTCAAAGCAGACGACTTGGACTTGACTTGGACTTATGGGCCAGTGACTCGAGACTCGACTTGGACTTGGCCTGTATTTGACTTGGGACTCGACTCGGGCTTGAGGTCAAAGACTTGACACTTACTTGAGACTTGCAAAACAAAGACTTGGTCTCACCTCTGCCTCCATCACGTCTGACCCTCCCCGACCCACATCTCTAATCTGTCTGACCCCCAGATCTACTATATGCCCCACTCTGACCCACACATCTACTCATTTACCCTCTGTTACCCCCAGATCTCCTCTATGACCCACTCTGACCCACACATCTACTCATTTACCCTCTCTGACCCACAAATTTACTGTATGACCCTGTCTGACCCCCACATTTAGCCTCTCTGACCCACAGATCTAATCTCTGTTACCCCCAGATCTCCTCTATGACCATCACATCTACCCTTTCTGACCTCCAGATCTACTTTATAATCCTCTCTGACCCTCAGATCTCCTCTCTGACCCTCTCTGACCCTCAGATCTCCTCTCTGACCCTCTCTGACCCTCAGATCTCTCTCTATGACCAACCATCTACCCTTTCTGACCTCCAGATCTACTTTATAATCCTCTCTGACCCCTAGATCTCCTCTCTGACCCTCTCTGACCCTCAGATCTCCTCTCTGACCCTCTCTGACCCTCAGATCTCCTCTATGACCCTCTCTGACCCCTAGATCTCCTCTATGACCCTCTATGACCAACACATCTACCCTTTCTGACCTCCAGATCTACTTTATAATCCTCTCTGACCCTCAGATCTCCTCTATGACCCTTTCTGACCCCTAGATCTTCTATATGACCCTCTCTGACCCTCAGATCTCCTCTCTGACCCTCTCTGACCCTCAGATCTCCTCTCTTTGACCCTCTCTGACCCTCAGATCCCCTCTATGACCCTCTCTGACCCTCAGATCTCCTCTATGACCCTCTCTGACCCTCAGATCTCCTCTCTGACCCTCTCTGACCCTCAGATCTCCTCTCTGACCCTCTCTGACCCTCAGATCTCCTCTATGACCCTCTCTGACCCTCAGATCTCCTCTCTGACCCTCAGATCTCCTCTCTGACCCTCTCTGACCCTCAGATCTCCTCTATGACCCTCTCTGACCCTCAGATCTCCTCTCTGACCCTCTCTGACCCTCTCTGACCCCTAGATCTCCTCTCTGACCCTCTCTGACCCTCAGATCTCCTCTATGACCCTCTCTGACCCTCAGATCTCCTGCTGACCCTCTCTGACCCTCAGATCTCCTCTATGACCCTCTCTGACCCTCAGATCTCTCTGACCCTCTCTGACCCTCAGATCTCCTGCGTGACCCTCTCTGACCCTCAGATCTCCTGCGTGACCCTCTCTGACCCTGGGCCGTACTGTACTCAGCTCTCCACACATTCGCCCGCACATTCCTGTCCCGTTTATCACAGTCCGGAGCGGCTTTTATTAGGACAAGTGCTTTCACATCCCCCTCTGTTATTATTACACAGACACACTGCTCCTGCCGCCCCTGCCGCCCCTGCCGCCTCCTGCCGCTCCTGCCGCCGCTGTGATCCGCTGCTGCTGCTGCTGCTGCTCTTTTGATTCCGCTCCAAGAGTTTCGCTCCGACCCGTCTTTCAGCGGGGACCTGGTTAATAACAGACTCTCAATCCGCTCGTCAATACGGCTCGATAACAGGGACGGGGTGTGCGTGTGTGTGTGTGTGTGTGTGTGTGTGTGTGTGTGTGTGTGTGTGTGTGTGTGTGTGTGTGTGTGTGTGTGTGTGTGTGTGCGTGTGTCAGACATTCCAGAAAGAGGTAATGACGGGGGGGAGGGGCGCGGGGTTCAAGGGAGCGACCGAGGGGGCAGTGCGGGACCTGAAGTGGACTCGAGCAGGGCCGGTGCCGAGATGAGCCCGAGTGCAGTTTAGGGCCCCACAAGTCACAAAAGGGGCCCAGAGTTTTTGTTTGTTTGTTTGTTTGTTTTTATATATAGCACATTTTACAAACAAAGCAGCTTCCAAAGTTCTGCACAGAGATCAGAAAACGAAGAAACACTGCTAAAAGTACAGATGTCCTGATCACATTTTTTTGCCCTTTCTGAGTTTGAGTTAGGGACGGGCATTCGATGAAATTTTCTTTATCGATCGTCGGAAGAATTAACAATCGATTATCGATTAATCGTTAACGTTTTTATATTAAAATGATCATCATTATTATTACTATCTGCACTACTAATCTGCATAAATAAATTCAACTTTACGACATATAAACCGTAACGACTCTAGAGCCACATCAGCCCGTTTGACATTATAATGTGTTTAATTCAGTTTTGTTCAACTCACAGAAACAAAACTTAAAACCACATCACTAATTTGCATAAACTAAGCGAAGATAAAACTCCAGCTCTTGTGTCGCTGATGTGGTTCAATTTCTGTCGGATTAAAAGACATGACTCAGGTGAATACAGGTTAGTGTGACCAGATTTGTGTTTGTCAAAACCAGGACAGCGTACGGGGGGAGGGGGGCGGGGCCTCGTCATCGACATTGAGCGACTCTCACCTGGAAAAACCTTTTCCCACTGGACACAGAAACATATGTGCTGCTTTATACACTGTGCACATGGACTCACACTTGTCCCGAACGCAATGGAAAGAGTGGAATTTTTTGTACAAATCATCGTTAAATCCACATTTGTGCTTCGGTTCGTTACAGACTGACCCACTGTTTGTGTCTCGCTCCTTCTGATGCAGAGACACATGTACACACCTGTTTGGTCACGATACACACAGCAACATACATTCGGTTTGTCGATTAAAATTTACGTAATCGATGAAATTCTTAATGATCAATTATCAATTAATCATGCCCATCCCTAGTCTGAGTCATTTGAGTATCTGCCTGATACCGAGTCCCGATCCGATACTTCTATAAAAATCATACAATGAACTAAGAGCAAAGAATAAGATCCAGGATGTTTGTGGGATCAGATTGTGTTGATTTCATGTGAAGTATTTGCCTGAACTTGTGAAAAATCAAATGTCCAAAACTTTAATTTTATTCACTTTTCTAACCATGAACCATCATTGTTGAAAATCTTGACTTTTACCACAGTTTGGTCTTGGAATGTGTAACTTATTAAACTTAATGAACTGGACAAAACAGGAACCAGACCAGAACCAGATCAGACCTGAGACTCGACTCTGCACAATCTACACTTTGTATATTTGATATTATATGGAAGTCTGTGTATTATATTTGAAACATTTAGGCTCGTCTATGATCCAAATAATACAAAATCTTATCAAATAAAAACGAGATGACAGAAGCTCCACAGCCTCTGTCCCCCGCACCAACACCACCACATCCACAAACCCACAGCGGAGAAACACCGCAACATCAGTCCCACCGCTCAACAGACGCTTCACGCCGCTTTTCCCACCCTCACCACCACCTCTCTGCGCAACATGCAAACAAACAGCGCCGTGCGACGACGCCATCGGCCGCGCAGGTGTGAACACGAACCACAGAACCACAGGAAACAGCGCCCGAGCACGACACGACCCAAAAGTCCCAGCGTGAGTGTGTCTCTAGTACAACAGACGCTGGGACAGACAGACTGGACGTCCCTGAGCAAATCCCGTGCCTCAGTTTAAAAAAAAAAAAAATCCGATACTTGATTGGACCATAACGGCCGTGTCTGGATCGAGTCCGCAGTCACGTGATCCGCGCCGATTTCAG